TCTCGTCAACACTATTCAAATCAAGGATACTCAATACTTTTTCAGTTGGAAATTGTAATGGTAAATACTCAGCTAATTGAGCTACCTATAACATATATAATTATCCGTCAGAACACATTGGAACTTATATGGAAAGAAATAGAACACAAATGGGTAAACAGAGTATGTAATGTTCATATCTCTACAAGGTGTAAAACATTTTAATAGAGTATTTGTATAAAAAAATGATAGACTTATATTAGGGTCACACTACAGCCTTAATCATGATTAATTCGTAGTGTGACCGCGACCTTAATCATGATTAACTTAATGCATGATTAGAAGATAAATAGCATAATCAGGATTACCCAGATCGGGCCGTGCATACACTTTCGTTACACGTACCGACTATGATGGACGTCAAGTGTACGCGTACAACTTTTTTGAGTAACTGTACCCAAATGAGGGGGTGATTTGCCACCCCCTACCATCCTCTAATCGATAACGCTGAGTGCGACCGTAGTGTTATTATTAATACGTTTGTCGCATACTAGAGTATTTAACTTGATAGAAACTTACCAGTTTTGGCTTAATAAATTGTTTTAAATTTGGAATCATTTTACTAAACATCCATAATATAGTTACAAACCATCCCATAAAGTAATTGATTGGTCTTACATAATTATTCGAAAATAATTCATTTGAACAATAATTTAAATAATGTGTAAATGAATCACTAACACAATTATCATCATATTTTGGCATGATAGTTATTGACATTTTTTTTTCACTTGTTTGTGGATATCGATAATCGGCAATATCATCATTATCAAATACGGACCAAGACATATCATCCATTTTTCCAGTATCTTTATCATGTTTATTCGTTTGTCTTTGTTTACTTTGTTCTTGTGCATAGATAATATCGTACCATGATTTAGGATGTAATTGTTCTAGATCATTGACATATTCTAAACATAATAGAATAATCATTGAAAAACACATTGTATACGCATGTGGTTCTAACATAAATTCATTTGATTTTAAATTACATAGATAAGGTAATATTTCAGATGTTAATAATTTAGCTGATAGACGACG